ATTTCTCAAACTGTACAATTCGTTTAAAAAAAAAAAACATATGATAAATATCAGCAATTTACAAAGTTTTATATATATGTAGTTATAATTAAAAAGAGAGTAATAAATTTACATTATCATAAGTAATGGATAAAATTTCAACAAATTATAGGTAAAAAACAGGTATTACATTTTATACGAAAAAGCGATTTGAGGGAATATGTAGTAGTGTATGAATGTATTTTTTCGATTTGATTTTTTATGAATTCCTATGTTTCAATTCATTTAAGCAAAAACGTGTGAACATAAATTTTGCTTAAAAGGGTATAAAGCCAGAATTCTAAATTTGTATTAAAGAAAATTATTCAAGACAATGGGGACCTCTGCTCGCTGCTCAAAGCGATGAGGTGACCATGCAAAAGCGAATGAAAAATTAAATACAAAACGTTACAAATGCAAAAGTGGGGTTTAAAAAGAACTAAACTTTAAATAAAATAACTTAATAATAAACTATTAATCCAAGTAAAGCACAAACGCTGCCACACATAAATAATAATGATAATGTTATATTAATGTATGTATGTTCAATACGATGCGATCCGGCGTAAATAGAGTTTGGATAATTTTTTTAAATTAAGTAAACAAACATAATATAAACAATAATTAAATTTAATTTTTCTACGAACGAAAAAAAAAATTATAAAACTTATATAATTTTAACGGTTAAATGCAATAGCAGTAACTTAGCAAACAGATAAGCTGTCAGTGTAATGAGATAAACCAATAGCATTTTTATGGAACTAGCAGTACACGTACATTTGTAACGGTAATGGACGCAATACAATATAAGTAACACATAAGGTAAATATTATAACTAGCAGAATTTAGCGAAAAAAGTTGGCAACCGTGTAATAGCAAATAAACAAGCGTAGACAGTAACATAATTATGCGCGCCGGTTCATTGGTTGGAGCCGCGCAACGCGAGCGAGCTTTTGAAACACACAAAAATAAAAGAGAGAATAATAATAGAAGTTTATAGTTACATAGAGCATGAAGCGAGCAGCGCTGCGTACACTGAAAAAAAAAAAAACAAAAATAAAACGTTAGTGGCGCACAGCAGCTGACAGTGCGTGCGAAAAGTAAACGAACCAACGCACGTTGAGTGTGTGGGATATTGTGCGGCACGCAAGCGGCAGCAAGCAGACAGTTTTTCAGACCCCTTTTTTAAATAAGCAAAAAGAAAAATAAAATAAAATACTGAAATTTTTCTCTAAAGCATTAAGTAAGGATAGAAATGATGTATAAATAATAAGCGAACTAGTTGCATTTAACAAATTTTAAATATTTACATTAGATTCAATTTTTAATAAATTATAACTATTTATTAAAAACAAATGCAAAAACAAAAAGTACGGACCACAGTTTAAAGAAAAATACTCCTTTCTCTATTTAAACTCTAAGCTAGACGCATGGCAAACATGGCAAACAATAAGGATTGATTAACTAGAATTTTAATAAATATGCAAATAAGTTGAAATTAATTGAGAATTATGCCTTGCATTGCAAGCGGATTTCAACTATGGAAATTATAGTGAACTAAAAGTGTAAAACTGCGAGATTTTCAAAGTCAGGCGCTGATTTTTTATGTCGTTATTAGTAATTAATTGTAATTTAAACTTAATAATAAATAGAAATAAACGCAATTTAATAAATTAAATTAATTAAGTATACAAAATTTATTGTATGAATGATTGAGTGCAGCAGTAAAGTATAAAGCAAAATTAAATTTAATTATTAATAATGAATTAAATTAAATTAATAATTAATGCAAGTAAAACAAATATATAGACATATAGCATATAGAATTTCAGTCATTTTGACTTTAATTAGCCGTAACTAAAACCAAAATAAATGAAGCAGAAATTATTAAAATGGCATAACAGCAGATTGTACATTTTTAAAAAAACCCGAGAAAGGCAAATAAATACAAATAGTTTATTCAAGATAAATGAAAAACTTAAAACATAAAACATAAAACATAAAAAGCAGCATTTGGAAAGAAAAATTAAGCAAATAAAATATTAAAAAAAAAATTATTATTATCATAGTCAACTAAATGAATTGAATTGCAAATTTTTGATGCTGATTTAATGAATAATTTAAATTTAGTAGTTATGAACCAAACAAGACCAGCATAACTGTAATATTTAATATGAAAATATTACCAGTACAATATTGAACGAAAATTAGCAAGAAAAAAAACCATGGTCTATGAATTGATTTTTTTGAATTTAAATAGTGTCGGCGATCGCAGCGAAAACATTCAAATTGAGAATAACGAAAATAAAGAATAATAAAAAAAAATATTAAAAAGTCACATACATTTACTTAAGGACATAGAATTTAAGCCAGATATATTGGGAAAGGTGAGATTTTAATTTAATCAAAAACATTAAATTCGGGGTTGAAAAAGGGTTAAAGGTGTTCAAAAATTAATAAGAATAATAAAGAAATTCGCTATATTTTGAAATTTTTGTATAAAAAAGGAAAGAATGCCACGCAAGTCACCAATGAAATTTGCGAAGTTTACGGAGAAGATGCTGCATCAGTTCTTGTAGAACAATATTGAAGAGATTGACCAGTACCGGCACATAAGCAGCCGTGACATCGCTAAGGAAATTAATATTCATCATGAAACGGTTTTGAACCATTTAAAAAAGTCTGACTACAAAAAGATGCTCAATGCTTGGGTACCACATGAATTGTCGGTGAAAATTTTAAAGTACCGATTTTAAAGTCATTCCTTGCTAAAACGAAACGAAATCGAACCGTTTCTGAAGCGAATGGTAACAGGAGACTAAAAGTGGATCAATCATCATACAACAATAACGTGCGAAAAAGATCACGGTCGAAGCTCGACAAATTGTCACAAAGCCATAAGCCTGACGGTCAGAACTGATCAGCAAAGAGGAATTCGTCTTTCATTAGGACAATGCTAGACCACATATATCTTTGATGGCGCGGCAAAACTTGGAGAGTTTGGCTGGGAAGTTTTGATGCATGCCCCTAAGATCAGGTATCGGAACCATAAAGGATTAAAATTCGTTTCAAGAGAAGCCTGTTAAAATTACTTGTCGCAGTTTTTCGCCGAGAGAATAGACATTTTTTACATTAATGGAATAATATCTCTAGCGGAAAAGTGGCAAAAAGTCGTGAACCAAAATAGTACATAGACTATACTATAAATGCAGTATTCGGCAAAATTATGTTTACGCTATGAATTTCAAAACCAAATAGCTTAATTTTTTCGTACTGAAATTTATTGTTTTGTTAAATGACGTAAATTTAAAAATTCGATTTGCCAAATAAGCGTTCATCTGAAAAAAAAAAATATTTAAGACCGAAAAATATATGTACAAATACATTCTAAAATTACCTTCTAAGTAGAGCTATCAAATTTAGCATTGCCAACTTTAGTGTTAATTACAGCTAAAAGACAGCGTGCTAACTACAAGTTCTGCTTTCTGAAGCCGTGAGCCTGAACAGGCTCATGTATTGAAGCGACAAGAAGATAGGTCCAGCTTACTATGCGAATATTGCCATAAGTGTTCAATAAGATTTAAGTCAGTGTAGGCTACGGTAGCGACTGTATCGACATCTGATCGAAATATACCTTCGCAACCCAACTTTTATGTTTGGGATCATTGTCTTGTTGATATGATTATATAAATATATATACATTTTATATTAGACCTTTTTGCCTTTTGAATTTCGCGGCTATGTATAAAGCGTCACAGAGCTCGTATCTGACAATACTATACATCTTTGAAAGGTCTTGCATAACCTATAAAACGACGACATTTCTAGAATTTTGACTTACTGAAAACATATGTATAAGTATATTATATTTCTCCTACTATTTATAAATCATTATACAATTATATTGAAAATATTATATCGAATATATACAGCAAACCATTTGTAAAATAATTAACACTTAACTTTATAACAAATTTTTTAGCTAGTTAGACTTTATGCTCTTATATTAAGTAAACATTTTAGAAAACTATATAATCATGCAAAATCAATTTGAAAAGAATGAAAGTAACAACTAAAACTCAGAATATCACGTGGTGCAATTTTATATTCAAAGTAGTAGAATTTTCTGCATTCAATTGAAAATACGATCCTTATATTTATTACGATAGAAATTTGCGAAGAATATTGTCAGAAGCAGAAAATTTTACATCCAAAAATTCTGATGGCTGCCCAGTTTGTCAACGAGCGCGTTTTAACAAAACTAATTGATTGTGATTTTCATACACAGTTACAGCGCTGCACGAATATTGAAAGCTGCTCATAAACACTATTTTATAAACTAAAAACATTATTGAAGTCAGCAAACACTCCAAAATCTAGCAGGTGGCGTGAACACTACCGAGGAAAGGTGATTGATTTACAATGAAATTTTAATGGTTAATTTCTAGTTTGGAAATTATATATGTACAATATACATATATTTAATTATTATTATTTTTTTTTTTTTTTGTTTTATTTAGTATACGCTTTAATAGCACATTTTTTGTTTATATATATGTAAGTGAGATGTTTTTAGTTATTATTTTAATGATTGAAGGTTGCATTAAAAATTTACAAATATTTTATTTTCGAAGATCTTACAAGTCACCAGACATTTGTTGGTATGAATTCGCAATTTTTTCCATAATTTATAAAACTTTGACAGTTACAAAACATATTTGCATGTCACCTATTTAAAAATTCTAATTTAGCTCTTTTAACTAACTCTTAACCCTTGTACGATTCCTTGCTTTCATATGAGTGAACTGGTAAGTGTTTGACTTATGCAAAAAATCTGTAAACTAATATAAGTAAAATATATTTCCATCACATTTAATCCTAACAAACATTTTGAAGTTAATTCTTAGTGGATTTAATAATTTTCAATAACATAAAAGCTTTTCATATTCGATATAATATTCTTATTCGATATGCTTTCACAGGCCAAAGCTTTTCTCACTTTCACCATCGTTCCAAATCCTCATTAGAAGCAGCAATTCAGCAGGATTTTTGCAAAAGGGTCAGATTAATGGACAAGACATTTGGTAATATAAAATTTGTTCGAGTGCGTATGAACCGTTATAAAAATTGTATGGAGTAAAAATTTAAAAATAACGATATTTTGTTAACAAATTAGTTATTGTAAAAATTACGTAATATAATATTATATATAAGTCAACAATAATTTTATAAAAATATAGACAATTTGCAAAAAATTTAACCAAAAATCAGTTATAAAATATCGACATTTTTTTAAAGTTTTCTACTCATTCATAAATTTGATAACTTATCAAAAATTTTATAAAGTATCGATATTTTGTAAAAAAATTAATAACTGTAAAACTTACGTAACATTTATAAGTCATCGATAATTTTATAAAAATGTCAATATTTTACTCATTTATATCACTGATAACTTATAAATTTTTTTATGAAAATATCGACATCTTGCGACAAATTTTACTAAAAATGCATGGTAATGATAAGTTAAAAAATATCTATATATTTTAATTTTACAAAATTTTTAATAATGATACTTTACCGATAATTTTATAATAATTATCGAGGTTTTTTAAACAACTTTTCTAAGAAAATAATGTGGTATTGATAGTTTTTGAAATATGTATCAATGTTTGCTGTAAAAATTTCGGAATATTAATAAGTTATCGATAATTTTATAAAAAATATCAATATCTTGTAAAAGCAAAAATATATACGTACTACAAAACATTCAAAAATATTGATAAGTTATCGATAATTTTATAAAACTATCGTTATTAAAAAAAATTCTAATAAAAATGCAAAATATTGGTGAATTAAAAAATATCAATATTTTATACGAAAACGTTTGCAATACAAATTTCATAATATCAACTTTGGTTTGGATTATACTGCATTAATATTTTATGAAACAATTTTTGCTGTACAAATTTCATAATATTTATATGTTATCGATAATTTTATAGAAGAATCGATATTTAATCACAATTTTTGCTGTACAAATTTCATAATATTTATATGTTATCGATAATTTTATTAAAAATTCAATATCTTGTAAAAATTTAATACTATAAATATTGCATCCATAATATATCGATAAACTCTATGAAAATATCGATAATTTAAAAATATATAATGATTTTCATGATATACCCATACAATAATAATTTTTATTTAATTAGTTATATTTATCACTATATACTTGTATATAATTATTTGAAAAGCTTTCACTTTCTTAAAGAGATCCCTGGGATAGACGGCTTCTTAGACAAATATATTATCATAACGTATCCGGAATGTTGTCCCAAATTGTCTAGTTGATCCGCGTAATAATTTCAGAGATACCGTCTCGTAATATTGTGCACTTCAGGTCAGCTATATAGTCACTTAAGACTTTAAACGCATTTTTCTCGAAACTGTGATTCCAAAATCGGTAGCCCATATTTCTCGCGAACTAATTATCTGATCTTAATGAAATTTTGTACAGGTATATGAGATATTCTAAATCTTAAAAGGTCTTGAATGGACGATTTTTATCTCTGCTCGGTTACAGCTATTCAAAAAAGCAACAAAGCCGAGCAAATTTCAGCAAAATTTGTTTTTATTTTTTGTACAAACGTCTACCAAAATGCCATTGTCATGAATTTGCGTTTACTGCTTCTTATACTTAGTTTAAAGTCTTAATTGAAGCACGTATTTTGTTTTTTCTATCCAACTTTGTTGATTCTGAAAGAAATTCTGCTTTCAACGCAGACACAGCTTTAACCCGAGTGATTGCCGGAAAAGGTCTCATAATGCACGACTTTTGACTATGTTTCTTTGAGAATTTAAGACAATTTTTTAAAAACATATTACTGAATGAAATATTGAAAATGGGCCGTTTTGACTCGAAATAGCCCATATAACCCCTTAAAGCATTACGAATGAATATTACTTTTTTTAACCATTTATATACCACAAAGACAAAAATGCAGTATTTATTTTTATTATTTTAATTAAAGGTAATAATATTTTCTCTAACAAAAATTAATTTAATATTTTAGGACTGCGCAGACCTTATGAAATATGGAAACAGGAGCCTTGCCACATGGTTGCGCAAAACTTTCGAAACTAGCAAACTGTCTTTTTTACATATATTTTATAATAATATATATGCAATTGTTAGTTATAAAGAAAAATGTTGTGAAAATAGTTCAGAATTTAAGTTTTTATTTAAAATATACCTTTTTGTACGATGTACGAAAAAATATGTTAATATTTATTTAAAACGGAACCTCAGTCAGTATGTTAACCAAATTCTTTAAAAGTAATTTTTAAAAAAGTTTACAGTTATTTTAAAACTATCATACCCTGTTTGCTTTTTTTATGATTGATTGGTAATCTATAAAGGAAACCGAAATCGATGGAGCTGTGAAAAAGTGCTGCACTTCCGCACTAGTTCCACTTTATACCACTCCAGTGCATTAAAGTATGAAGGCTTCAATTACGGCCCACAAATAAATAAACTCTCAGTCATTTATTGACAGCAACCGCGGCAACAAACACATCGATCCACCTCTACACCCCACACCACACCACATTGAAATGGCATTTAATAGTTTATCGCGACTTCAAATGTTTACAGCAATTGACTAAAAAATCGATTTGCATTTGCAATTGCACTGAAATTTAATTTGAGTGGCCACCGAAATCATTTAAGTGTGACCACCTCAACCACACAGACGCAGCGCGGTCATGCAACGCCTAGCTTGCAACAAAATTTAGCGGCATGAGTTGTGTTTGTTTCCTGGTATGTATAGGTGAATATGATGCCATATTTTGCAAGCAATTGGTTTGGCCACTGCATTGCTATTTTTAGCAGAGTTGGAAAATTTATTTCACTTCACCTCCCAGCCACAACTAAGGACACCAAGTGATGCGGTGTGGGTAAGAGGATGGCTGAACTAAAGGTCACCACTTGCAGCAATTGTGCTAGCATGCTAGTTAGTGTGAAGTGTGGTTAGCGAAAATCGAAAATTTTTTATATGGTTATACATATGGTGCATTCAGGTAAGTACAGGGTAGTTCATGTACCAGTTTGTTAAGGTGACATAATCATTATACGAATAATCTAACTGATGAAGCTATGAGAACCTTACCACGAGAAAGTGACTTTAAAATTTGTTGTAAGTTTCTTGAAGCTTCCAAAGAAATGCTCTTCTGAACCATCTTTCTCTTACATACATACATACATATGTATAAATTGAAAACAGTTTCCTGTTTCTAGCCTCTAATATTTACAGCGGCACTTCGAAGGGCAAATTCGGATTAGCCCCTACTTGCCGCAGCACATTCCGCAAGCATTCTTTCACCGGCAAATTTTGCGCTTTTCAACAAAGCATTTACAGTTGGCTTGTTCATTGAGTGGAACGGTGGGTTGACAAATATTTACATTGTTATAAAACTAGTGAGTAAAAGGCTCAGTGTTGTTTACTACTAGAAATTATATGCTTACAGTTAGAAATTATTTACAGAATAATCTTAAGAGTAAGAAATGGTTTCTGGAAAAACAGCACCGCCAAATCCTGAAGTTCCTTACGAAGATTTCAAATTGGAGACAATCAATCATGATCAATTTTGACGCGGAAAGAGAAAAAATTCAATTTTTCCTGAACTTCTTATATATACACATGTCTCGGCTGGAATGATCTTCAGTGGAATTAGCTTTCAGCGATTTTTTTTTATTTTTTGTTTTTTTTTTTTTAGCTAATTTTTGAAACGCCAATCGCTAGATTGTTGGACCAATTTAGTGTCATATTCATAAACAAACATTTCGCCAACTAACAATGTAAGATCCTCAGCTACGTTGTCAAGTACCTCTTTTGCTGCCTATACTCGACGCCGGTTTTGAAAAAGACATGCTTTATACCCAAACCTTTAACCAAAATGTGCTTAGACGATTCCCACGAGATGTTGAGTTGATCTGCTTTTTCTCTGATGCCAACAAGTTCTTAGCAAAGATAGAGAACTTCACAGCCTCAAATGAGAGATGTTAAGATGCTCTGGTATCTCTTTGATGCCAAGAAGAAAATTATTAAGCAAACTTTCATTATCTGTGTCGATGTAATCATCTTTAACAGAGATAGTTGACTTCACGGCCTCGCACGATTCAAATGATCAGTGACTTCACTTCTCTCACTGAATACTTTTTGCTACTCAGATAAATAAAGTGGACTCCCAAAAGCACTTTCGTAACATTTTCAACGATTCTGGACGAAGAAAAATCTATCGACCCGTCCAGGTCAAATGTAATCAGGGGGTACAAATAATTGAAAGCATCTAAAGACTATCCTAAGCTTCTGTAAAATTTTTAATTTTTAAAATTCTGAACGAAAAACGAAAACAAAAAATTATCGACATGTCATATTTGATCATTTTGTACAAATAACTAGAAGCTTCAAAATACTTAAAAATGCTTTGCTAACTGTGCAGAGTATTACAACTTCGGTGCAACCACAGTGAACGATTTCTCATATTTTCATCTAGAAATGTCCCAGACTATAAGTTAGATGCATTATCAGATTTCATCCGCGTCGGTCCCACTGTACCATATTAGATAATCATTATCGCGACTAAGCAGCTAAGCGCTAAGCGTAATCTCACCGACAATTACACCAGTTTACAGGTGCAAGCACTGACAAACACACATTACAAACACACAACCAACACCATTTGCGCCTTTCGCGCTTAGTCACTGCGATTAGCTATAACACAAAACAATAAGCACCAGCGCTTTATAGAACTACAGCAAACCAGTCATTGTTAAATCATAAAATAAAGCCCACTCATCTGACCATTGTCTGTCAGAGCCTCCATGGTACCCATTGAGTGGAAAAATACCACTACATAGCTGACAGTCATAACCGTTAAATCGTTTTTTATGCGCCGCCTAAGGATGTATGACCTCTAAGGGGTTGGAATTGGAAACTAAGTGAGCCCGCTCACCCTAAAACTCCACTAAATAAGCCAAGTGCTTGAGATTTTCTTTTCGAGGTGAGGCAGGTTAGTAAACGAGAAGGAGCGTGAACGCCAAGTACTGAGTTAGGTAGGA